TGGTGTCGTGAAACAGTAGGCACCTATATTCTTAGACTCCCAGTTCCATATGCTCTACTCTGGGGGTGAATGACAGTTCTGCCAAGACCCCAGCTGGCCAGTGACAGGAAGGCAGCAATGCACAGTACGGGGAGCAATTTTACTGGAAAGATGAGAGGAAATTGCATCTTTAATAATTCACCGGCCGGTTTGGAGAGAGGCAGGTTGGCGGGCTGCGGAGCCGCCAGGCGATCCCAGCTTCGGTTCCTGGAAATCCGCTGGCTCCAGAGCCTGCCCAAGAGGCCCGGGGCCTCCATCTCCTCCTGGCTGAGGGACAGCAGGAGCCGACAGAGTCTAGACCAGGGTGAGAGGTTAAAACACAGCCATCCCGGGAACCCGCTAGATTGATATCCCCAGCAAAAAGGAGCCAAAAGAATCGATACGGCAGCCCAGGCGGGCAGCCAAGCTGGACCCAGCCTGGTGGAGTCCTGGTAGAGGAGGGTCCCAAGACTCAGCCAGCAGACTGGGGTGAGGGGCTTCCCTTTCTACACTCCCAGAATGAGGAGGGGCCATAGGCAGGTGAGGATCGGTGCTATGCTGGACAGCCAGTCCAGCTTGGGAGGTGGAGGACAAGGACATGCTGCCCAATGTCCTTGGTGGGTGCCACCTTGGCCCTTCCTTCCCTCCTGGGCTGTCATAGGAGAAAACCTTCAGATAATTGTCACAGGCATGTTAGCATGTAGCCAGAGACAGAAAGCAGGTGAGGAAGAGAGGGAACTAGAAGAGGCCCAGAGGATAAACAGCCCAGGACATGTGAAGACACCAGAGGACACACTAGCCAGATTCCGGTCCCTCTGCAGCCTGTGCCACTGGTCCTTCCTAGCATGTATCTTCCTGGATGTGTCCCTTCCTTCTGAGTGTTACCTGCAAGTCAAGAGGTATCTGAGGTCCTGGCTGTCTTTATTAGCTAGAGGGCTAGAGAATCTTAGGTAACTAACTTGGAATTTCAAAGCCTTCCTAGGTATGCATGTCAGTGTAAGTGCAAACCCGGTGCAGAGAGGGGGGATGCCAAGGGAGATCAGATGGGGTTTGAGAGGATGTGGGGGCCACAGTGTTTTGGGCAGAACATCTCTTCTTCATCCCACCCCTCCCCCAAGATCAACAGGGGGGACGAAAGGGTCTCAGAACACAGCTCGAAAAGCAACAACACTAACTTCCTCTGATGTTTAGGGAACTGGAAAGCAGTGAAAAACACTCACCCAACGTGATGGCCCAAGCCTGCAATTTCAGGAGGTAGGAGGCAGATGGACCTCAAATGTGAGGCCACCTTGGGCTGCATAGCAAGATCATATCTGCAAGCAACCAAGACAGCAAGCAGACAGGCAAGCAAGCAAAAACAAACAACCAACCCCCCAATGGACCAAAAGAAGCATCACTCTCACAAACAACTGACTGGCTGCCACGGAGCCGGGGACGGACTCTGCTCTGCTGGTTGACAAGCCAGTGCTCTTTGCACGCATCCCAGGACCCTAAGGGCCCTCTTGCTCACTCTCTGATGAGGGGACAGACAGTGTGACCATGAGGCTGTTTGTTGCTCAAGTCAGCAGTGCTAAGAATCATCTTGAATCACTGGTCCTTGTCCACGCCAGGCCTGTGAGTATTGCCTTCTTCCTGGGAAAAGTGTGGTCGGCCCACTCACCAGCCTTGTGGCCTGCCCAGTCACACCTAGTCATATGACTAACTCTGAGTGGATCCAGCATTTTGGGAACTTACTACGGGTCAGAAATCAGGCAAGAATGCTTCTAAGTTAGATGAATTAGCTGTTAAAACCACCTGTTCACAGAGCAGGGTGTGGTGGCACTGGTCTATATTCCCAGCACCGGGGAAGCTAAGACAGCAAAACCTGGAATTTGAGGACAGCATGGGCTACAGAGAGAGACCCTGTTTCAAATGGCCACCACTATGACAAAAATGTCCATCTATGCTGCAAAGCTCACGGCCTTTGTAAGAATGCTCCTCAGGCTCTCATCCAGGGCCTGTGTGTTCCTTGACAAAAGGTTCTGACAAGTTCGATGTAATAGTTTCTCAGGCCACAACAATGACGGTGATGATGAGGGTGTTGGGATGAGAGGAGAGGCAGGAGAAGTGTAAAACAGATTCAGTAATCAAACAAGCAGAGCAGATGGGGCACACCTTGATAATCTCTGGGGCTGACCCTGGGTTAGAGGCCACTGTGTTAATTAGGGTTTTGGAAAGGATGCTGGGCCTTCAAGAAAGGGTGAAACATGCAGTATCAGAAAATCAGGGTGCAAATCAGAAACAAAAGACAACAAGAAAGCTTCATAGTTTAAAAAGGTCTGTTAGTCACATGATCATCTCCGGGGGACAGGTGCCTGGGCAGGAGAGGGCTCACACGTGTGAAGATCAGAACCCACAGACTCCTGGGCCATCTTTCTTCCCAGTCAAGATGCCTCCTGCCTGGAGAGTTAAGTAGCTTCCCGATGCTTCTCACCATCTGTCTCCCTTTTGACTGCTCCTTTATGCTATGGGAAGGATTTGGGGTCTTTCCTGGGCCAACACAAGAGCAACCCTGCTGTTTGTCCACAGCCTTGGGAGCACCGATAATGAAACGTGGGACACAGACCTGGGGCTTTCAGCTTGTTACCTGTAGTTCCATGGCAGAAGTTAGTTACCCACAGGAAAACCCCAGTGCCTTTCTTTTCTGTCTATAGCGTCACCCTTCCTGTCCCTTGCCAACCTCTTCAGAAGGGCATTTCTCTGTTCCTCTAGACTGAGTACATGCCTGCTCCTGACTGGGCCCTGAGCCTCTCAATCGCCCAGTGTGTTCACCTTGGGGTTACTTGGTGAACTGTGTATTCTGTTGGGCCTCCAGAGGAGCCAAGAGCCCTACCAGAGCCCCTCGCTGTGACCTGGGAGCTGAGGGGGTTGGAGTGAGCTGGCTGCCTTGTATCAGGAAGTGAGGAATAAGGACTAAAAGAGGCTTCTAGAACCTTGGACATGATGCCTCCCACCGAGCACAGCTTGTTCTCAGGGACTCTGCTCCCCCACTCGAAAAACAGGCAGTGGATCCCATACGGCCCCTTTTCAACTCACCTTAGAGGGACCGTCATCTGAAGCCCTATGCACAGTCTTGTATTTAACAAGGAAATGGTGAAGCCAGGCTTGGCGGTGCACACCTCCAACCCCAACACTCAGGAGGCAGAGGCAGGAAGACTGCACTAGACCTTTTCCCAGAGTGACTCCAAATCTCACTGGTGAGTAGTGAGACTGACACTTGTGTGGCCTGAGTGGAAACTGCAGGTCTTGAGTGTCTGCTGTGGAACTTGCCACGGTTGGCTTATCCACAGCAAGTCCACCGGGAGGACAGGGTTCTGCGTGTGTGAATGCCTTTAAAGGTCGGCTGCCAAGTGCTTCAGCAGCACTTGGGTTGTAAGGGGGAAGTTTGTCGCCCGTTTTCTAGCTGGCTTTCCTCATGCAGACTTGACGGTTGCTGGGACTCCCCCTGGCTTATCACCTGGTAGAGAGGGGCTGTCTTTTCTCCCTAGGCTGGGCAAGCCCCATAGTGTCACCAGGACCTGAGTCAGGCATTGACTGTCTATCACAAGTATACCATTGTGCTTGCACCAGGCCTGTGGGATTATGGCTGTGGTCTGGTACCCTCTTCTGCCTGGGAGGTGAAGGTCATTTGAGAGTCCTGGGGACAGGTAATGGAGCTCAGAAGCAGGCATTTTGGTGGTTGAATTCATCACACATAGACCCCTCTATGCATCAGGGCAGCTGTGGAATCCTGGCCATAGTCATCTGTCCTTCAGAGCCAATCATCCCAGACTCTGGGGGCTCCTATGAATTCCCTAAGACCAAGAGTGCTCAGGACCATGCCTGGGATACAGGGGTGCCCAGTGAATGAAGAGATTGATGAGGATAGAGACCCATGCGAGGGGACACTGGTTTCCTCATGTGGCTGCTGTGAGCTGTTCTCTTAACCCTCTGCCCGCCTTAAGTCACCCTAAAACCAATCGACAGCCAGGCAAGGCAGAGCTCCTAGCTCAGGGAATTTACCTACACAGGGCTGATGTACCCCTAGGCTTAGTACTGTGCTGCTATGAGGCTTAGCCTCAAATTCACATTGGAATTCTAACCCCTAATATGGTAACATTTGGAGGTGTATCTTTTGGGGGGCCATTATGTCAACAATTGCCTTATGAAGGGAGTTAGTGTCCTTACAAAAGCCTCCTCCTCTGCCTATGTGGGTGCCCTGAGAAGTTGGTAGTTCCTCCTCAGGCAGGCTCAGAGAGGTATTGACTCAGTCTGAGCAATGTCCTCTCCAGGTACCCATGCTTCTCTGGGCCTGCCTGGGGAAGGATGAAGAGAAGGATGCTACCCAAGAAGTTATGAAGAGGCAGTGTTCCCATGCTTCTCACAGAAGAATACTACTACTACTACTAGTACTAGTATTACTACTTCTACAGAGTTTCTCTGTGTAGTCCTGACTGTCCTGGAACTCACTTTGTAGACCAGGCTGGCCTTGAACTCACTGAGATCCACCTGCCTTTGCCTCCAGAGTGCTGGAATTAAAGATATGTAACACCAGGCCTGGCTGAGTCTCCAGCTTCTTACAAAAAGTCATTGCCAAATGCTATGGGGACATTTCCTGGGATGGGGTGGGTCTAGGTTCTGGTTACATTTGCAGCCAACCAAAGCTATCTATCACAAAAGTAATTTTCTTCAGGAAATTCCACCACCCTGGCTCAGCCTCAGAGCCTCACTTTTAGATACAAGAAGTCCCATTCCTTTGCTGACATTATCTTGAGTGAGCCCTTTCCCAACCTCTTCAGACCCTAGAGCCTGTCCTTGCCCTGGATGGCAGCCAGTGAGGACTGTCCTCAGCAGCTCATGGTCTGGGCACTTCTGAGACTGCTACCTGTACCAGCTGAGGCACAAAGGCTTAGGGAAAGATTACCACTGCCGAGCTCAATACAGAGGAGAAAGACTCGGGACCCTTTTGGTTTTTGGTATCATTTATTAATTTTTTTTTAACCCACTTGTAGTTTGGGTTCAGCTGGGAAGCAGGACATACAGATGGAGGGTAGGGATGGTGCGAGCAGGATTGGCCCATAGCTTTGGCGGGAGTTCCAGACCCTGCTCCAGGGAGGTAGCTCCTGTTGTCAGGCCCCCAGCTGGTTCAGGTGAGGCCCCAGATGTTCTGGTGCAAGTGTCCAGAGCAGGGGAGAGTTCTACACTCTCCCTCCCACCTCCTCAGTCAGGTTTCCTAACACAGTGCCAGGCCACTGAGGGACATCACGCCATGGGCAGGCCTGAGTGTCTGGGACAAGGGACACTCACTGGCTGGCTTCTGATGCCAGATAACAGCCTAGGACGTGGCTATCCAGAGGCTGCCGTCTAGAGTGGCCCCTAAGGAGCTGCTTTTCTTGGCTCCTGGGCTGTGGGCTCTGTCCCTGCAGCTGCCCTGGGTGCAAACAGTGGTATACTTCCCACCCCCCACCCGTCAGACAAAATAAAATAAAATACAATAAAAATTAGAATAAATACCAACTGGGTCAACATTTACATTTACACAGATGGACAGGATGATTCCCAAACTTTGAAGGGTTACAGACTGGATAAGGAAGAATGCATGGATGAAGGTGGTTTGGGGAGCACATGCTCCCCATGCTTGATGGTGAGGCTCCTGGCCTTGTCCAGGGGGAGGTTGGGAGCCCTGCAGGAGCTGTGTGGTCCCAGAGCTTAGGCAATATGGCCAGTTCATGAAGAGGACAGTGACAAGCAGGACACTTGAGAGGAAAACAAGGACCAACTCATCCTGACAGGCGGGGGAGCCTGAAAAGGCTCAATAGCAGATCATCATGGCCAGATAGGACAGCATAAGCCCAAGAGAGGCGACAGCCAGATATCTAGCTTTGCCTCCTGTTGGTTCATTCAGAGGTGGGCTTTGATAAGCTGTCCCTCTGGTGGCAGAGGGGCTCTGGCCTGGGGAGAGGTCAGGGGTCTGTGGGTGCCTGCATTTCCCCACTTCCTGCCTGAGTCGTCTCCCACAGGAAGCTACTCAGACTTGGAGATTTTAGGCTTTACTGTTGTTTCTTTAAAAAATAAAAAAAAAAAAGCTTTCTTTCCGTGTCTGAAAAAGTAGCAGGGATCTGAATTTAAAACAAACAGCAAACAAACGGCTGGAAGTGTCATATCAGGATGGGCCGGGAAGTGCTTTCAAGCAACTAGGCAAACGGTAAGTCTGGAGCCACCGGGACACAACATGTAATTAAAAATATATTTATATATGTATACATATTTATATCTTGCATCTTCATACTGGTCCTCAAGGCCCTAGAAGGGGCTGCTCTTGAGGCAAGACCCCCCAGCAGGCCATTAAGAAGGAGCTGCATTAGATCTGTGGTACCCACAAAGCCACAGTCTTCGTCTACACAGTGTTTGGGAGCCCTGTGTGGAGCCTACTCTGCGAACCCAATGAGGAGCCTGGGAGACCTCCCTACTCCTGTGACTCGAACCCTACCTTCAGCCTCTTTTTTCCTCATGATTCTGCTTCATTCTTAGCAGATGCTGATGTACACACACACACACACACACACACACACACACACACCACCCCCGCTTTCTTTCACAAACACCCACCCACTCACACACACAAGTCACACTCACACACCCCGCCCTATAGACACCTGGGAAGCAGGCCCATGCAAGCGCACCTGTGGCTCCCTGAAACTTAAGGAAGCAGGTGTCTGAGGACCTGGGCTGCCCAACTGTACAAGAGCATGATTTCCCTGGTGTCTTCTCAACTCCCTGCTCTTCCCTCACCACCACCTGTGGGGCTTGCCGTGTCCCTGGGCTCCAGGCTCAGCCTAAGGGCTGGAATGGGAGTCGGGGCGGCTAAGAAGCAGAGAAAAGAAGGAACGAGGGGGGAGGGGGAGAGGAAAGAGATCAGAGCTGGGGTAGCCATTGGTCTCCACACCTTCTTCCCAGCAGGTCCTTTTGAGCCCCCATCTTGGGACCAGAAGATTTCAGTTGAGGACAGGCAGAGAGAACTGGGGACTCTCCCTCGCCCACTTCCCTTTCTGCTCTTCTGGATGTGGGACAATTACAGTCCTCACTTTCATTCTAGCTGATTTGAACTAGGAAGCCTCAAGAGCCGTGGTACTCAGCCTCCTATGCTGTGACCCTTTAACACAGTCCCTTGTGTTGGCGTGACCCCAACCATAAAGTTATTTTCGTTGCTACTTCATAACTGTAATTTTTCTACTGTTATGAATCGTAACGTAATGTAAATATCTGATATGTGACTCCTGTGAAAGGGTCATTCAACCCCCAAAGGGGGCTCGAACCACAGTTTGAGAACCCCTGCTCAAGAGTCTCCAACATGGCCTAGGGCATGACCAATCCCAGTAAAAGGAGCAAAATGGGAAGCCACTGGGCTTGGACACATGTTCTGGGTGATCATCAAAATGTGGGTTCCTGCTTGCCAGAGATGAGGCAGAGCACTCACCAGTCACCACACGGAGACTAGCCTCTTGGACTTAGCCACATCCTCCTCTCTAGTTACAGAAGCAGTTGCTCCCAGGGACCAAAGCCGTTCAAGAAATCCTAGCTTTGTTTCTAGCCTGCCTGGTCACCTACCAAATGGCCCCAGTCAAGACCCAAGGAGGCTGCTGTAGGTCTTGCCTGGGATGAGGTGAGGGCGAGGACACAGTCCATGAATGAGGCTCCAAGACCCACGAAGCCAGCAGTGGGCTCTTCCGCCAGCAGTTGCTTGGAACAAGACTTGCATTTGGTTTTAATTTGCCAGCTTCATTTCTGGCCCTGCTCACCATAACAGGGGCCAGGGCGGGTCCTAAGGCAGTCCAGGGGACAGTATCAGCCCTTTGGAAGCTAGCAGTGGACAAGAACAGAGGCACTGCAGGACAGGGGCCCAGGAACACAGGATTCCAGTGGAGACCCCCATTGGGGCAGAAGTTTCCAATTACTAGCTGGCTACTGGCAAGCTGTTTGTGGCTAGATTGTTTCCACAGGGGGCAGGGTTTGATCCCCCACTAATCAGGGGGTCTGTGAGGGGGCGATGGGGCGATCACATTGAGGGCATTTTTACTGAGAAGAGAGACCTCGAAGCATTGACTTTTGAAATAACAAAATAAAAGGGTGCAAGCGGAGCTGTGAGTCCCAGCTCCCTTCTCTGCCTGAGGGAGCAGCCGGCCCTGGGGCTGGAGGCTGAAGGGAGGAGGAGCTGAATTCAGTTAGGAGGGTGAAGCTCGAAGGTGAGAGTGGGGGGGGGGGCCGTGGGGAAGCCTCGTCCCAGCTCCACTGGGGCTGACAAAGGCTGTCAATTATGGGCGGCTGGTGGGGACCGTGCCTGCCTTTGTCCTCCCAGACATCTGCTACACGTTGCCTGCTGCCAGTTGGCGACTGCGGCTGACAGCACGTGGGAACAATGAGCAGCCGTCTCGACCCACTTTTCAGCCTTCAGCAGTGCTGGCTGACCCAAGCGGTGGCCAGAGGTGTGGGAGGCTGAGAGGCAGCTGGAGACACTGAGGAGTGGCAGAGATTCCTCCCATAAGACTCTGTGGGGGAGGGGGCGGGAGGCAGGGGAGGGGGGCGGGGAGGACTACAGCTGAGGAGAGCAAGGGCGGGTGACCAGCAGGACAAAGAGACACACATGCGCAGGCTGGGGAGCTGCGTGGGGGAGCTCTTCTGAGGGACGCGATCCCCTCCTCCGCTGGTTCCAGACTGGCCACTGCTGTTGCCTGCCCCCCTGCTCATTTCTTTTTCCCGCCAGGGCCACCCCTGTCCTTTCGCCTGTCCATCTGGCCCTGTGCGCCAGGGCCCCAGCTGCCCGTGGGCTGCCCGCCAGGCCCCTCTGACTGTCAGGCTGTCAGTTTCTGGATGGTCCTGTTGTAGTACTGCGTGATGGGGGGTGTCAGAGGGTTCCAGCTGTTGGCGTGGAGCTCGATGACCTCCAGGAGCAGGGACCGGGTTAACATGGACTCTGAGGGGCACAGCATCTTATCTCGAGCGCTGGCTAGGAGCTCCGTCATCATCTCAGGCAGCTGCTCCTCCAGAAGCCGGCCTGTGCTTTGTAGCTGTGGGTGAAAAGTGTGGTCAGGATGGGACTTGGACTCCATAATATGCACCCCCCCCCAATCCTTGGCTAGGTAGGCTGAAGACAAGGACCAAAAAGATCTGGATTGTCCTAGGGACATGCAGATCCAGGCAGGAATAGCCAACGGTGAGATGCTAAATTTAACAACCATCTGCCAGCAGGAATGCTGGGAGCCAGGATATTGCCTGCTGCCCAGGCCTGACATCAACTCATTAGGAACTCACCTCTTGTGTCTTTACCCCAGAACCTCACCTCCTGCAGGAAGCCTTCCCTGACTACACTTAGCCCCTCACTTGACCCCATGGTCTGCTCCCTAGGACGATTAGGTATCTCTGTGGTCATTTCCATTCGCCAGGCATTTCTCTGGAAACAGGTTAGTGATCAGTATCTATGTGTGTCTGTGTGGGACAGGAGGGGACATAGGGTCCCCTTTCTAACTCCAAACCTACCTCTAGCTACAGAACTGACCTCTGCCCACATTAGTGATAATAGGTAGGAGAGAGATATGAACTGAAGTAGAAGGCCAGTCAGGCAATCTTGAAATCGAGAGAGAGAGAGAGAGAGAGAGAGAGAGAGAGAGAGAGAGAGAGAGAGAGAGAGAGAGAGAGAGAGAGAGAGAGAGAGAGAGAGAGAGAGAGAGAGACCTGGCTAGGAGAAGCAGGCCCCTTCCCATATAAACTGAAGCCTCATTGCCGCTGTACCCTGGCCTTATCCTAGATTTTTCTAGGCTCCACTTTTCCCATACAGCCTTTCCTGACCTCTGTGACCCACTCTGAACTCTCTCTCTTTGTAATGTGAATATCCCGGCTAGAAACATTTGGGCCTGGCCACAGATGAGGATCTCTCACTACAACTCTTCCTATACATTTCTCAGTCACTGTGCATGCACCAGACTTGAAGCCATCTGAAGGAATGGACCTTGTCCTATCTTTCCCAAGCACCATACAAGTGTCTGTCTAGCTGGAACCCAACACATAAACTTCATGACCATCCCATCCAACCAAGGCTGCTGTTGCAGGCTCCTGGCACAAAGCTCCTGGGGAATGGCCTTTGCAACCTGGACAGACCACCTGAACATACAATATGCTCACTGGCATGGACAGACTGAGTCCCATGCTAGAAGGCCCCTTCTTTGTGTGCCTCCCTGAGTGACCCTGGGCTATTTGTAGAGGGCAAGGAACTGCCCCGGAACCCAGCCAGCCTTGGAAGGAAGATTCCAGAAGTTTTAGTGTTCAGTGGCTGCACCTTTGAGCTCAGGAGCCTTCCAAGAGACTAAGCCAATGCAGGTGATTCAGTCAAGCATTCGGCACCTTCTCCTAATCACATGCCATAGAAGTGAAGGGACATCTTCGGGGGCAGCAGGTCACCTGCAAACTCTTAAAGTCATTAGTGTGGCATGCCTGATCCAAATAGCAGGAGGTCTTGGGACAGGGGAGTGGACAGTGCCAGTTGGTGTTGATTCCTCTAGAGAATGATGCATGCCTGGTTCCCCAGACATCCCTGGGCCAGCGGCTGCTGGACTGGTAAACATGTGACACGGTTTCCCCCAGCTGTGAGGCCTGAGGGCACATGGATATGGGGTTAGGCCTTCTGTGCCCACAGCTCACCTCCATGGAGCAGCAGAGGACAGCGTCTTCCTTCACATCCTGAGACTGCAAGAGCTACAGAAAAGAGGACAGAAAAGAAAACAGGCTGAACATCAGCTGCTAGCCTGACAGGTGGACCACCATCCTGCTCACTTCTGACCCAGCTTTGATACCGTCGATGACCAAGCTCGCCACTGACTCGGGAGCCAGGGCTCGGCTATGGGAGGGAGTCTGGCCATCAAACTTTCTTCTCCACTGGTGCATCATTTCAAGCTCAAAGCCACCAGCTGTGACTCATCCACAAGGAGTGCTTTTTAACCAACGCCATGGCTAGGCTTCCTTGACCACATCCCACCACATTTTCCTCTACCTATCCAAACTGTCCACTCAACGTCTCTCTTTGGAAACTGACACAACTCGTCTAACATAAAATTTACCATTTTTTGAGACAAGAAGCTCATGTAGCCCAAGCTGGCCTTGAACTTGTCACATAACTGAGTTGACCTCTAATTCCTGATACCCCTGCCTCTACTGCCTAAGTTTTGGGATCAGAGGTGTGCATCACCATATCTTGACTTTTTTCTATTTGAGACAGGATTTCATACTATAGCACAGGGTGGCTTCAAACTAGTCATCCTCCTGCCTCAGCCTCCCCAGTACTGAGATCACAGGTGCGGAAGCTACATGTGACTCACATTCAGCATTTTCAGTCTATAATTGCACACCTCACATGTATCTCGGTTCCAGTTCCGCTCTCTGCAATTTTGTCCCTGGAGACGCTAGGCCACCCTGTAACCACAGACCTCACTGTCTTACCCTACTCAGGCCCCGCCCACACATGACAGCCTGGTGTGTAGCTGATTGCCTCTATCTACTCCCACTGACATCTCTGTGGCCCTTGACATCTGTATCTTCTTCCTCTATCAGAAATGAAGTCAATAAGCTCAGTGCCTAATTTGTCCACAGTTGTCCCCAGGCCCTGACACGGGTGCTAAGTAAATAGGAAATATGTGCCAATGAGAGTCTTTGGAGCTGGGCGGTGGTGGCGCATGACTTAAATCCCAGCACTTGGGAGGCAGAGGCAGGCAGATCTCTGTGAGTTCAAGGTCAGCCTGGTCTGCAGAGCGAGTTCCAGGACTCCAGGACTGGCTCATAGCTACAGAGAAACCCTATCTCGGAAAAATCAAACAAATAGACAAATAAACAAACAAAAAAGAAAAAGAGTCTTTAGGAGGAAGGAAGAAGGCCGGCCCAGCTGGCAGTGTCAGTAGGAGGTAAAACAAGGACCCTGCCTTCAGGGCAGAGGGGAGCACCCAGCCTCAGGAAGGTAACAGTGAGGGGGACGTGAACAGGACACTCCCACACACCTCCCTCGACAGGAGGGACCTGGCGCCGAACTACAACTGGGCATGGTGACACACACCTGTGATATTAGCACTCGCTGCGGCAAGGAAATGTTGAGTTTGGGCTACGCAGTGAGAGTCTACCTCAAAACATACAAAAACTGCAAACCAAATCGATGCAGAAATTACAGCCAGGTGGTCATGGAGCACACCTTTGATCCCAGCACTCAGGAGGCAGAGGCAGGCAGATCTCTGTGAGTTCAAGGTCAACCTGGTCTATAGAGTGAGTTCCAGGACAGCTAAGGGCTGTTACATGGAGAAACCCTGTCTCAAACAAAACAAAAAAGAAATTACAAAAATTAAGTAAAGTTCTATAGAAATTACAAGGAAGGCAAAAGGTGAGGTTTCTAGGGTCGAGAACTGGAGACTGGCGGGGGGGGTGGGGGGTTGGCCACCGTGTAGAGAGGAGGAGAAACTGGTCTGGAGGCAAGATAGTCTGGCTCTTCAAGAGAAGGCTGTTGTGGTAGCAACAGGTTCCTCACAGTACACGCAGGTGTGTACTTGGGTCATGTTTGGCCCTGATAACAGCTTCTTTGGGCCTGAAGTATTTCCCCTCAAGAGTACACCAGGTTTAGTGACAAGAGAGGTAATGTTCTAGGAAAGGCCTCCAAGAGCCAGGGCCAGAGCAGCAACTGATACTTTGACGCATGCTGTCTCTACCCCTGGAAAGAGGCCTTCCTCACTTCCGGCACCGCTGCAGGGCAAGCCTCATGCAGCTTGAAGGTCTGGCTGCAGAGAGCTTTGTCCCCTGAGCCAACAGCTCATTCTCATTTCTTCTGCCACCCAGGGCCTGCCCGCCTGCCTTTGGCCTTCTGTGACTGGATGAGGTTCTGCTGTCTGCCCATAGTCCTTCCTTTACTCCTGTATTCTACGTGACTGTACTGGGTTCTGGGCTCCCTACAGACCTCAGTACCACTTCTACTTTGGCAGGGCCCGTGTCCCTCCCAAGCAGAGCCGTGGGAGGGTGCTTTCTGCCAAACTTATCTCTTACTTGGCTATTGGGAAAGTCTGTGCTAAGCCAAAAACCACAATGTCTGATAGGCTCTGCTGCACAGGCCTGCTGGGCTTTCTCAAGGAAGTTACCGAGGGCTGTCCCTCTCGTTCTCCTGTCCTCTCTGTGGCTGCATACAGTACAGAGAGCACATGAAAGAGAGGCAGGGGCGATGGCTCAGCTGGCAAGCGCTTGCCTTGCAAGCCTGAGGACCTGAGCTGGATCCCCAGAATCTGTGTAAAAAGGCCAAGTTTGATGGGGGCACGCATGGCATCTCACCCTAGGAGGCAGAGACAGAAGCTGGGGTTCAATGGCCTACTGGTCTAACTTAATTAGTGAGCTCCAGGTTCACTTAAAGAACGTGCCTCAAAAGTTACGGAAGAAGACACCTGACATTGACCTCTGACCTGCTCACCCCTTAGATGAAGACGGGCTTCTTGATGCTACCTGCTGAACCTAGATCCTTTAGTGATGACTGCAGAAGGAACTCCTTCAGCCTCCTCCTTTGACCTCTGAGGGCAGCTTGCTCAACTCTGTAGATTGCCAGGAAGTCCCCACTTGCTGCTTTTTGTGGTAACAAGAGGCTCGCCTGCTCATTTGGTGATGGCTACTTCACTGGAACCTCTTTGCGTATAACCCCCCAGGTTGCCTAGACCCATCAGTGGCTCCCTAGTATCCATTGTAAGGATTCAGGCATTATGCTGGCCTGCCCCTGTTACCTGGCAGAATGCAGTACTCTGGTCAGCCCAGGGTTCCATGAGTACTAGTCTGCATACAGGTGCAAAGGACCCCTTTAAAAGAAATTTGCGGGGCTGGAGAGATGGCTCAGAGGTTAAGAGCATTGGCTGCTCTTCCAGAGGTCCTGAGTTCAATTCCCAGCAACCACATGGTGACTCACAACCATCTGTAATGAGATCTAGCACCCTCTTCTGTCCTATGGGCATACAGACAGATGCTGTATACTAAATAAATAAATCTAAAAAATAAAAAAAAAGAAATAAAAGAAATTTGCAGGCAAATGGATGGAACTAGAAGAAACCATCCTGGGTTAGGTAACCCACTCACAAAAATACAAACATGGTATGGACTCACTCATATGGATCTTAGACATAGAGCAAAGGATTACCAGCCTACAATCCACACCACCAGAGAAGCTAGGAAACAAGGAGGACCCTAAGAGAGACATACATGGTCCCCTGGAGAAGGGGAAAGGGACAAGAGCTCCTGGGAGCATGAAGGGAGGGAAGAGGGAACTAGGAGAAAGAGAAGGGGAGAAGAGAAGGACAGAGGAAGACGTGAGGGAGCAGGGAGATTGAGTCAGGGAAAGAATAGAGGAGAGCAAGATAAGAGATACCATAATAGAGGGAGCCATTTTAGGTTTAAAGAGAAATCTGGCACTAGGGAAATGCCCAGAGATCTACAAGGATGACCCCAACAATCTAAGCAATAGTGGAGAGGCTACCTTAAATGCCCTTCTCCAATAATGAAATTAATGACTACCTTATATGCCATCCTAGAGCCTTCATCTAGTAGCTGATAGAAGCAGAAGCAGACACCCACAGCTAAACACTGAACTCAACACCTAAAACCCAGTTGCAGAAAGGGAGGAGTGATGAGCAAAGGGGTCAAGACCAGGCTAGTGAAACCCATAGAAACAGCTGACCTGAACAAGGGGGAGCTCATGGACCCCAGACTGATAGCTGGGAAACCAGCATAGGACTGATCTAGATCCCCTGAATGTAGGTGTCAGTGAGGAGGTCTCAGAAATCTATGTGGCTTCTGGTAGTAGATCAGTATTTATCCCTAGCATACGAATGGACTTTGGGAGCCCACTCCACATAGAGGGATACTCTCTCAGGCTAGACACCTTGGGCAGGGCCTAGACCCTGCTCCAAATGATATGACAGACTTTGAAGATCCCCCATGGAAGGCCTCACCCTCCCTGGGGAGCAGAAAGGGGATGGGATAGGAGGTTAGTGGAGGACAGGGGAGGAGGGGAGGGAGAGGGAACTGGGATTGACATGTAAAACAAACATGTTTCTAATTTAAATAAAAAATAGAAAAACAAAACAAAAAGAAAGACCTCTACCCACTTATGCTCTCTTTCCGGCTCTTCTCTCCCTCTCCACTCTTCTCTCCAGCTCTCTTCCAGCTCTCTCTTCCCACCATCCCCTGAGGCAGACAGGACTTACCCTGTCTCCCTCTTCTCTTCTGCCCTCTCTCTGTGTCTCTATGGAATCTGCCACGCTCCTCACACAAGGTCCCCCTTCGAGCTTTATCACTTCACCCACTCCTGGACACTCCTTCCCTTTGTGGGGATCATAGACATCCTTCCAAGTACGGAACCTGTCCATTCTTCCACCTTGGCCCAGATTTCCTGTTCCGTGTCCCATTTCTCCAAGTCTAGGTTCCCAAAGGGACAGCTAGGTGTTGGATAAGAGAATCCTGTTTATATGTTGAGGAGCCTAGTACTTCTCTGATTTACACATACTCTACTTGGGATTTTTCAGGAGATAGTTGCTTGAACTCAAAGGTTAGTCTCAAAAAGGAGTGGCCACTTGAATAGACAAAATACTTGTACACTTCTTCATGGCTTTAAAATTGACAGTAGTCAAAGCAGAGAAACCATAGTGTCTGACACTGGGGAAGAGGATAAACGAATGACCCATCTTTACAAGGGA